GCTAATTTTTGTATTACTATCATTATTATTATTATTATTATTATTATTTTGGTAGAAACGAGGTTTTGCCATGTTTCTCAGGCTGGTCTCAAATTCCTGGGCTCAAGCAATCTGCCCACTTCAGCCTCCCAAAGTGCTGAGATTACAGGTCTGTGCCACACTCCTGGTCTTGGATTTCTTTCTTTTAGTCCAAATACTCCTTTAATATTTCTGCAGTCTTATAATTCCAATATTTGATCAGGAAGTGAGTCTCTTTTCATTAGTGTTGTGTGAACTCTTTAAATTGATCAATGTAAACAGTGTATTTTCCAGGAGAGTAAATTTTTCCTAAATTATATACTTGATTTTAGTTTCTATTTCAAGTTTTGTAATTTGATTCTTTTTCAGAAATACCTATAATAAAAGAATCAAATCTTTCACTTTTTTCCTCCCACAGATACCATCTTCTCTTTGATAACTTTCACGTTTTATACTTTTCAACTTTCTTTCTATATTCTGGGATGGTTTCTCAAATTCTCTGATGTGTTCATTTTGTTTTTTGCTATTTCAAATATGGATTCAGTTTAATTGCATAGTTTAGTTCCTCTACAATGTTTCTTTATTTTATTTTTATATCTACCAGTCTCTAAAAATCTATTTTCATTTCTTTAATAGGTCATTTAAGAGGTCTGCATTCCTTTAAGTGTGTTATTGATATGTTAATTGGATCATGGGGGTGGTTTCCCCTACCCTGTTCTCATGATAATGAGTGAGTCTCAGGAGATCTGATGGTTTTGTAAGTGTCTGGCATTTCTCCTGCTTGCCCTCACTTCATCTTGTGCCCTGTGAAGAAGGTGCCTGTTTCTCCTTTGCCTTCTGCCATGATTCTAAGTTTCCTGAGGCCCCACCCAGTATTGCAGAAATGTGAGTCAATTCAGCTTCTTTCCTTTATAAATTACCCAGTCTCAGGTATTTCTTCATAGCAGGATGAGAATGGACTTATATAGTTGTATAGTGCTCTTTTTTTGTTTTATAAAAAATACTGTAGGTCTAAACATTTGGTTGACTGCTTCTGCATATTCAGATCTGGTGTTTTCCAATAGGGTCATGAATTGAAATTCCTGACTCACTTTTTTTTTTTTTTTAATAATTCCAACTTTTATTTATATTCAGGGGGTACCTGCGTAGGTTCATTACATGGTTATATTGCATGATGCTGACGCTTGGGATGTGATTGATTCCTTCACCCAGGTACTAAGCATAGTACCCAATAGTTAGCTTTGAACCTTAATCTCCTCTTCTTCCTCCCAGTAGTCCCCAGTGCCTATTTTTGCATCTTTATATCCACATGTACCCAATGTGTAGTTCCTACTTATATAGGTGAGAACATGTGGTGTTTGGTTTTCTGTTCCTGTGTTAATTCACTTAGGATAATGGTCTCTAGCTACATCCATGTTGCTGCAAAGGACCTGATTTCATTTATCATGAAACCTTTGCCAGCTTCTGTGTCCAGAATGGTATTACCTAGGCTGTCTTCCAGAATTAGTATAGTTTGAGGTCTTATATTTAAATCTTTAATCCATCTTGAGTTAATTTTTGTATATGGTGATAGGTAGGGGTCCAGGTTTATTCTCTTGCATATTGCTAACCAGCTATCCCAGCCATCTTTTATTGAATAGGAAGTCTTTTCTTCATTGTTTATTTTTGTTGACTTTGTTGAAGATCAGATGTCTGTAGGTGTGCAGCTTTATTTCTGGGTTCTCTATTTTGTTCCGTTGGTCTACATGTCTGTTTTTGTATCAGTACAAAACGGGCTGTTTTAGTTACCGTAGCCTTATAGTATAGTTTGAAGCTGGGTAATGTGATGTGATGTCTACGGCTTTGTTCTTTTTGAATAGAATTGCTTTGGCAATCTAGAGTCTTTTTAAGTTCTACATGAACTTTGGAATATATATATATATATATTTTTTTTTAATTCTATAAAAACTTATGTTAGTAGCTTGATAGGAATAGCAATGAATCTGTAGTTTGCAATATGGTCATTTTAACTATACTGAATTTTTCAATCCATGAACATGAGATATTTTTATTGGAACCTTGTTAAATCCCTTTTTCTGATTTGTAACTGGATGTACAAATAAACTACAACCTACTATTGCCAGGCAGAAAAATAATTTGGCATAATTTCAAATCGACAATATTTAAATACTGCTTTTATATTTATTTACTAGTGAAAGGGTTGCTGCCTACAAAGAAATTTTTAAATCAAAACCATAATATTAAATAAGAAATATTATTATCATTTCCACTTTGGCAGAGGGAGAATTCCATTACATGTTTCCATGTTACAATTAGAATTCTTTGTAGAGCCCCAAATGCATTATTACTGCTTTCTTGCTGTTTTGATGACCCTCATACACTGGTGTGCCTTGCAATGGTGTAATGGTGTGACTGGCCTTACTCTTCACGCAGCTTATGACTGAGGACACCTGAGCGTTAACAGGATCTTACCTAGAGAAACTTTGCTATATTCCATTGCCTGCCTTCTGTAAAGTCAAACAAAGGAAATATGTGAAAAACCATTATGATATATAACTCAGTACTCTCAATCATCCTTCTTCAGCTCTCCTAATGTACCCATTTTACTTTAGCACAATGATTTCCCACTTAGCAATTGATATTTCCAGGCTATCCTAACTTTGTTTAGACTCTTTCATCTACTTTTTTTTTTTTTATCATTATTCACTATTGATCTTCCTTGAGAATCTTACTCATTAGCCAAAACTTCTCTCTCAATTTCTTGACCTTGCTTGTGATTAGAAAAATGTGTAAGTTGGGAATTAAAAGAAAAAAGAAGAGTAAGCTACATGATGTATGCAATACAATTTTATAACACTTTTTTATTATAAAATAATACCTATTTATTAAAAGAGATTTGGAAAATACAAATAATACAAAAAGAAAATTTGTCATTGATAATCCCACTACCCAGAGAATATCATTGTTAACATTTTGGTATCCTCTCTACATGCACATAAAAAGATACGACAAAGAAATGTTATAAATAAACCATTTAACTTGATTTTAAATTAATAACTTTTCATGAATATAGCCTTTCATATTAGTTAGAATACCATTTTTGTTACTATGCTTTTTTTTTTTTTTTTTTTTTTTTTTTTTTTTGAGACGGAGTTTCGCTCTTGTTACCCAGGCTGGAGTGCAATGGCGCGATCTCGGCTCACCGCAACCTCCGCCTCCTGGGTTCAGGCAATTCTCCTGCCTCAGCCTCCTGAGTAGCTGGGATTACAGGCACGCGCCACCATGCCCAGCTAATTTTTTGTAGCTTTAGTAGAGACGGGGTTTCACCATGTTGACCAGGATGGTCTTGATCTCTTGACCTTGTGATCCGCCCGCCTCGGCCTCCCAAAGTGCTGGGATTACAGGCTTGAGCCACCGCGCCCGGCTGTTACTATGTTAATACCTACATGGTATAATATTATATGAATGTGACAGTTTATTAAATCAGTGTCCTTTGCTTTCAAATTTGCATTATTATACATAATGCTGAGATTAATATATTGGTATTTGTATATGAGTCATATGTATTCCCTTAGTACAAATCCGTAGAAGTATACAGAATTAAAAATCTTAGATAATTAACATAAACTGCTTTTTTGAAAGACTGCAACATTGCTCTCCACAGCAGTATTTTTTGTTAAATCCATTTCCCCATGCCCTTGTAAACTCTATGTTTATTCAGCTGAAATTTTATATCCTCTGACTAGCATCTTCTCAATTCCCCCACCACCTACATTCTGTAAGTTCAACATTTCTATTGTCTTAATTATGCCTTAATTATCTGAAGACATAATTGTCTTAAAACATTTTCTGTTGTTATATTTGAATTCTACAGAAGGGTAATTTATAAAGAATGGAGATTTATTTAGCTCATTCTTCTGGAGGCTGGGAAATCCAAGAGCATGGCACAGCTATCTAATTAGGGCTTTCTTGCTGTGTCATGACTTGGCAAGAGACATTATGTGGCAAGACAGGCAAATGTTCTAGCTCAGGTCTCACTTACTCTTCTTATAAAGCTACCAGTCTCATCATGAAGTTTTTACCCTGAAGATCTTATCTAATGCTAATTACCTCCTGTCTTTGTTCATTTGTGTTGCTATAACAGCAAACCTGAGACTGGATAATTTATAAAGAAAATAGATTCATTTGTCTCTCAATTCTGGTGACAACTGTAGTCCAAGAGCATGGTGCTGTTGTCTGCTCACCTTTTAGTTAGGGCCGTGTGCTACATCACAACATAGTAGGCAAGCAGCATGTAAGGTCTTTTAGGCCAACTGACTGCCCCATGAACGCCATGTTAACCTCTGTGACCTGCATGGACACTCCATATGAGCTCCTGGGAAATCCAAAGTAACTGGAAGACCATGAAAAAAGGAAAAAATGATAAATGCCTGCTGCACCTACGAAACTTTGAGACATTCATTGGTAAGGCCATTGGACTTTGTAATCGACCTTGGTCAACCTCATGACTCCATAACCTACGACCCCCTCCCAGCTTGCAAAAAACCACCCTGAAGTTACTTCTATAACTTTCCACTGCCCACCCCAAACCTGTAAAACCAACTCCTATCCCACCACCCTCCACTGATGCCCTTTTCAGCCTCAGCCCACCTGCACCCAGGTTAATAAACAGTGATGTTGCTCGCACAAATCCTGTTTGGAGGTCTCTTCATTCAGCACACACATTTTAACACAGTGAGGTGAGCAGATGAGTGCAAAGGGACACACAAGAGAGGCTGGTCTCATTTATCACAACCCATTTTACGGGAACTAAGTACTTCCATGTTTCAAACACCTCACACTAGGTTCCACCTCCAAACATTGCCAAATTGGGAACCAAATTTCAACATACTTTTCAGAGGGGACACAGTCAAACCAACAGCATTCTGCCCCTGGCTCTTCAAACTCGTATCTTTTTCAGGTACAAAATACAATCGCCCCGTAGCTGCAAAGTGTTACCTGTTTCAGCAGCAACTCAAACGTTTGAAGTCCAAAGTCTCATTTGAGACTCAAGGCAAGCTCCTTCCAGCTATGAGCCTGTAAAATGGAAAACAAGTTATCGACTTTGAAGTTTCAATGGTGGGAGAAATATTGGGTAAATATTTCAATTTCCAAAAGGAGAAATAGGCCAAAAGAAAGAAGTACCCAGCCCAAGCAAATCCAAAACTCAGCAGGGTAGACATTTAATCTTATAACTGCAAAATAATACTTTATTCCATATGCTGTCTTCTTGACATACTGGGACAGGGTTTGGGCCTCCAAGGCAGCCTTACTTCTAGGGCTGTGCTGGTTGCACAGCTCACATGGTTATTCATATGAGTTGGAGCCCAGTGTCTGTAGCTTTCCCAGGTGGACGTCGCATGCTGCCAGTAGTCCACCCCAGCAGTGGCTGCACTCTTACACTCCACTAGACATTACCGTGGTAGGGACTATCTGTGGCAACTTCACCCCTGAAGCAAGTTTTTGCTTGAGTTCCCAGGCAGATTAATAAGTCCTTTGAAATCTAGGTGGAGACCACCACATCTCTACCTCTCTTGCGTTTTGCAGACCTGCAGAATTAGCACTCCATGGATGTGGACACTACTGAGGCTGATTGCTTGTGCCCTCCAAAGCTGCAGCACAAGCTACGCCTGGAGGTAGCTACACCTGGAGGCACTTGAGACATGGTTGGAGCAGCTAGGATCCAGGGAGCAGCAACGTATGGATGCAGGGAACTTCAGGCGCATCTCAAAAAGCCATTCTGCCCTCCTTGATCTGTGCCTTTTCTCCATTGTGCTAATACACAGCCAAACTCTCTTTTATTCATACTAATCTTATTAGAAAGTAATCACTGGACCACACCCTCAGCAATTTCTTCCAAACTTGCCTGTTTACTCTTAACATGATCAGCCTGTGACTTTTCCAGATATTTTGGCTTTCCTCCCCTTTAGTTATAAATTCTGTTTTAAATTATTCATTTGCTCCTACATCTCAGTATAAGCAGCTCAAAGTAACCACACAGCTCCTTCTCTGATTTGTTTAGAAATTTCTTCCAGAAATTCTAGTTCAACATTCTTAAGTTCTACCTTCATAAAACCCTAGAACATGGACACAATGGAGGCAAGATCTTTGCTACGATATAACAAGGATGGCTTTTACTCCAATTCACAGTAAGATATTCCTTATTTCCATCACATCTTATCAGAATGGTCTTTACTGTACATATTTCTATTAAGAAATATTAATAGAAAATGAACCAACAACAGAGTAAGTTTACAAAGCCATGGATATTTTCTTGAAATGATTAATAAAACTGGTAATCTTAACAAGGATTGATCAAGAATTAAGTAAATAAACATAAACTACCTATAGCAATGAAAAAGTTGATATGGTTACAGAGCTCATAGATGCTAAAAAGATAATATTATAAAGAACTTTATCCTGATAAATATGATTATATAAGTGGAATGAGAAAAAATCCTGAAAAACATAATTAACCAAATATGACAAAAGAAGAAATAGAACATTTAATAGCTCTGTAACTTTTAAAGGAATTGAACCCATTACCAAAACCTTTTCACAAAGAAAACTGTAGGCCCATATGGCTCATCACTAAAATCTATAAACCATCGAAAGAAGAAATCATAAGTTTTACATAAGGCTTTTTAAGTAAATAAAGGTGGAGATAACACACCCCAACTTATTTTATAAGGATGGCATAACCCTCATACTAAAATGTGACAGAGACATTACAAAAAAAATTATCACCCAACTTAGTCACATAAAATGAAAAGCCAGTAGTTTCACATCTGTTTGCATTTAACAAATGTTTTGAGGACTTGAATGTTATAAATCACTCTATTATAATGTGAAACTTTTTTTTTATCAAATGTCACAGGAATGATCAATACCTGATCACTGGAGGGGAAAAACAGAGGAGAAATACAAGTTTCTGCATGTCAGCCAGACATAGGTAACATTGTTTCACAGAGCAGCAGGAATTGCACTAGCATTGTTGTTAACAGAAACTGAAGGGAGAGAACATACTGATTTTGGTATACACCATAATTTTTAACATAGTAATAGACTTCTGAGAGCACTAATGTCTCAGCAATTTAATAGGTGCTCCTTCATTTGTTGGAGTCTAAAGAACCAGGTGTACTTTTACAAACATTCCCATAATTGAGCTTCCATACATATTAAATCCGGAAGAGGCTGAGTGGCTTATTGTGAAATAAGAATAATAACCACAGAGTTCCAGAACATCATGCCACTAAATCTCACTAGCAGAGTTCTAAAATGGGAAAACTAATGGATTTACTTAATACAATACCAATTATTGTGTAGTCTGTGACTTTTCTCCTTGATGAATATTTTTGAGTCCATTAAAAGAATTCCTACTTTAAGACAAAACCCATTGTCAGCAATTTTTTCCGTGTGAAGTTGTAAAAACATTTTCTTAACAACGTCTTATTAATTTTTTCTTAACAACATCTTATTAATTTTTATTACACATCTGAGTATATTTGATGAGTAAAAGGGGAGTCAAATTAATGGTTATAATTCTTAGGAAGAATGCTAATATATCTTCTTTTAATCAACACTTAGTTAAATCCTACTTATTTATTACTTTAAACAACTCTCTACAGAAAAAACTCCAGTGCTATTTATTACTTTTATTCACGAAATATGTTTGTAAAATATTTCCAATGTGTCTACATTTTCTTCACCCTTAATAAAATGTCAGAGTAAGTACAGTTTTGCTGAATTAGGAACTATCTTAATCCTTTGTGATTTAGTTTATCTTCTTATATGGCCAAAGGAAGTCATCTTTTTCGAATGCCTTTCTCAAATAGAAAATAAATTAATATTCATGCTGATTAGGCTGAAGCCTTTGAAGACATTGGTTTGAATAAATAAAGCAAGTCACAGATCCATGCCACTCTAGCATATTTATTAAAACAATCATATCCTTTCAAAAACAACTCAGCATGTTTCCGAGATAGTAATAATACAGGTCACCTCCTTTAGAGCCAGTAGATGAAATAAATGTCTGTGTTGGTGTTATACATTTAAATAATATTGTTTTTCTTTGCCTCTTGTTGATATATGCAGAAGTCAGTATACAATATGCCAACGTGCTCTTGCCACACCTATTACTGTGCAACTTATTCTTAAGCGAATTATACTGATACAATAGGCAGCTCTTTTGCAAGCTTACTTAAAATGTTTTTATTCCTACTCATCCTATGGTCATGTCCTTGTTCCTCTTTTCTCATAAGCATATATTATTAGGCATATCTAATCTTTTTCAGAGTCACTAAAGGGTTTCTGTGAGGCTCTGTGTCTCAATGACCACTATGCATCCAAATGTGCATGTGTACAAACATAATGTCCTGTCTAGAGTCATCTCTACTTACCCCTAGAGTTTCTTATGGTTTAATTCTAGTTTTGGTTTAAGCCAAAGATGTGTTGTTAGATATTCTGATTATCAACCTGGCAAGTCTATTCTTTTGAGCTACTCCTTTTTTCTGTGTCATCCTTCGCTTCAACGAGTTGCTTGTTTTACTCTTCCAGAAACATCACTTCATTATGCAGTCTTCTGCAACTTCTCTAAAAGCTTCTTTATTCACGTTTTAATTCTTCACCTTAGCTTGTTCTTTGTCTATTCCAAACTCAAGAAACCAAAGGGAATTTTATTGTTAGGAAGCATCTAGAGCTGTGGTTACTAAACCAGGGCCCATAGGCCAAATCCAGCCTGCAGCCTGGTTCTATACAGCTCACATACTAGGAATCATTTTATATTTTAAACTGGTTTGGACAAAAACACACAAAAATATTTTATGACACATGAAAAAATATGAAATTCAAATTTAACAGTCCATAAATAAAGTTTTACTGGAAATTAGCCATGCCCATTCATTTACATATCATCTATAGCTGTTTTTGCAATACAAGAGCAGAATTGAGATGTTGCAAGAGACCAAATGGCCTGCAAAGCCTGAAATATTTACTACTAAGTAAGGAAAAAAAGTTTGCTAACACTTGATCTAAAGAATTAGAAAAATGGAAATTGTTGTTCACAAGTTTAAATTATTTCCCCAAAGCCATGGGAATTTATTGCTGAGCCCAGATAGAAACTTTGATTTCTTTATTCATCCACTGGTGCACTCCTTACTGTATCAGATGCTGTCTACCCATTTAAAAAACATAGTTAACCTTGTAACTGAAAGACAAGGAGAAACTCCATTTCTCATTTGATCTTTTGCATTTCCAACATTAGTCAATTACAAAAGACACTGTGGAGGAGATCAACATTTAGACGACTGCTGAAACAGAGATTATCATAGAATGAAGAATTAACTAGGTAACGAAGATTATTTCTACCTTAACTGGGTAGCAAAGATTATTTAGACCTTTACCAACCCTGGGTTTAAAAAAAAAAGTCAATGTTAATTTTAGTTAGAAAGAGTTGTATTAATACTATAGTGTTGCACTTCACATATTACTTTTATATACATGTATATTCTTAGAAAAAAAATAAGAACCCATTTTCTGGGTAATTTATCATCTTGCTTTAAAATAAAGAAACAAGTTCTGCTGCCAAGAGATTTCTCATGTTCCACCTTTGTCAGGATAAATAATTGTTTGATCAAAATAGCAGCTGGCCTGGTGCCCGTGGCTGAGAGAGCTGAATTATTGAACTCTCATTAGTAGTTACAACTCTAGAACCACCAGCAGCCTTCAACCAACTTCCTGATCATCAACCTCCTTTTTCTACTTTTGCCTTGGGAAGAACTACAGTGTCTCCTCTAGACATCCACAGGGCTGTGGGGAGATAGAAGTTCACAGCAGGAATTGCAGTTATTTCTTGTTTCTTCTTTACTGGGCGAAAAAACCGAAGAGACTTCAGAGAAAAGATAAAGCAGCAAATATTCCTTTGTAACTCTAACCTAAAGTTCTACTGCTCTTTTTCATGAAAATACTTTTTTAAAAAATCATATGTGAGAAAGGGGAGGTATCTGTCATCCTTTTCAGAGACTGTCCATGCTGCTACA